CAGTCTACTCCACCTAAAAAATTATCCGGGTGTCCTCCCCCACACTCTGGGTAATGGGTAATAACGGAGGTAAATAAAAGAGTCTAGATTTCCCTAAGTATCTCCGTCTTCATTTGCCGCTTTTCAAAACATTTTCTCGGATTTTCTTTCCTCTAGTTTCTTGCCATGGCAAATCCCTGTGAAGGTCTCAAAGTGCTTATCGTTGGGGCGGGATTCGCAGGCCTTACCGCAGCAATCGAATGTCGAAGGAGAGGGGCACCAGTCTTACTGCTTGAAGGCAGTTCTGAGCGAAAACAGCTTGGAGACATCATCAGCTTTGGCTCCAATTCTGGAAGAATCTTCCAACGCTGGCCAGGGGTTGAAGAAGCCTTTGATCCTATCTGCCATCACAGCAGTGGCCTCGACTTCTATACCTACGACAATGAGTTCCTTTGCCGTCAATCTTGGGACGCTGAAGCAGACTGGGGCAAGATGTTCAACGGTCACCGAGGCGAGATGCATGAGATTGTATGGGATCATGCGCTGAGCATTGGCGTGGAAATTAAAATGGGAAAGAAGGTTTCCGAGTACTTTGAGACGGATAATGAAGCCGGTGTCATCGTGAACGGGGAAAGAATTAGTGCAGATGTCGTTTTAGCGGGAGACGGAGTTCGCTCGACTGCCCGAACTATTGTCCTTGGATTTGAAGACAAGCCTAAGTCTTCTGGATATGCTGTATACAGGGCTTGGATGGGCACTGAAAAGCTGAAAGAGAATCCATTGACGGCCTGGTTGGCAAATGGACAGGACCACCATGCTGGATGGCTAGGCCCAGATGTTCATTTCCTTGTTGCAGCGTTGCAAAACGGCACTGCATGCAGCTGGGTATTAACACACAAGGTAGGTTCACCCTTAGACTAGTATTATACAGCTTCTAACATAGCGCATAGGATGAGGCCGACGTAGAAGAAAGCTGGTCAGCTCCAGGAGATATCGAAGATGCAGTAAGAACTGTGGAGGGTTGGGCACCCATTGTCCACACCATCATCCGAGCGACTCCTCCAGAGAAACTCGTAGACTGGAAGCTGGTTTTCCGCGATCCCTTACCAACATGGGTCAGTCCAAAGGCTCGAATAGCGTTGATCGGAGACGCTGCCCATCCATTCCTGCCAACCTCGATTCAAGGAGCCTCTCAAGCAATGGAGGATGGTGTGACTGCCGCTGTGTGTCTTGAGCTTGCGGGGAAAGCGAATGTACCTGAGGCCATTCGAGCATACGAAAAGATCCGATATGGCAGAGTCCTTGCTACCCAGAAAACTGGTGTAACAACTCGTGATGCGTGGCACAAGGCCGATTTCGACTATGTGAAGAAGAATCCAGAGTCCGTCAAGCTGCCTCGAGAGAAATGGATACTGGATTTCGACGCTCAACAGCACGCGCACGATGTGTACGCTGAGATAGTGAAGTCTTTGCAAACCCCATCTGAATCGAAGCCTTCGCTATGACGTTGACATGCCATTTGACGCTCCTGTGGTTCGATAGCTGCGGGATTAGATATGGAATACCTTAGAATAGACCTCGGGTTCTGCCTGAATAGTACCTAGCGATCAGAATGGTCTCAAATAGTCGTTTAGACAGCCCCTAAACGAAATGATGAGCGTTCCCAGGCGTTCGGGAGAGAAGCTGACGATGGACATAGTGCATGAAACGTTTATTGAATAAATTAAAGGGCGCTAAGACAGAACTAAACTAATTAGGAATCATCTGTGCGTAACTCGCTTCAACCGCGCCGCAATCAACGTAACAAACCTCTTACCGCCCGGGCCAAGGGACATAGAGGGCCTTCATTTGCACGTACATTTTCGGTACCACAATCTCTCGCTGCTTACGATGCTGGTTTTCATAGGCGAACTCGCATGGACGCTTTCAAAATAAAGTTTGAAAAGTGCCGGACTCAGCTCGGATCCCAACCTCCGGCTTTAGCTACAGGGGTACACTGATGCACTCACTTCAAAATTGGCCTCTTTCCTGGAACCTGAGCTCTCTGCGTGGAAGACTTCTACGCCAGTATTCAACACGTGGACCGACACAGGCGATACCGGGCTTTGGTCGGCAGTAGCCAACAGCCGGGAGAGACTAGAAACGACAAGGGTCAATTGCCGGCTCCAATTTTTCGACAGACCAGATACTCGGGACGGGATATCACGCATGAAGGTAGCAAAAGAGCTGTTTTTGGACATTTTAGGGCCATATGCTTTCATATATTCGGCTCCTTATGCATCTGCCGGCCAGACTGTTTTCGTAACACTACCCATTTTCGGCCCTGTAGATATGGGGATACGGGGGTTCCGTTAACGTCATTCGTTCCCAGGATACCGATCGTCGACCCTCAACCGGCAAAAGTGCTTCCACAAGGGTTGTATGGATTGATTACCATGCGCCAAACCCCATGAATGTCCCCTGCACGTTCACATTTCCATGCTAATTTTCCTTTCCGTGCCGCATACACTAACATTAGTGGTTGATCACACCTAGCAGTTGTCCAACCTTGCCACAACCCTCACATTTCACTCAGCCCTCATACTCTCCAACTCTTCGAGAAACCCTTGGCAGGGTCAATTTTGAGTGTAGAAGTCCCATATATCCTGCCTCGGATCGTGCGGCGCAGCACGCTCCACTAATTTTAAAGATCGATCCCCTTGGCTGTTCCTTTTCATATCTGCCTCGCATCGTCGAAATCAGACTAAAAGCACGTTAATTCTCCACCTTTCTAAGTTCTCCACACCACCTCTTACCAGCATCCTGATCTTTGTTTCTCGGAGAGCCATTAGGATGCCTTTCGGAATAGTAGAGAGTAACAGCACGGAGCTTGTCCCTGGGACAGGTAAGTCTTTCCAAGCTTCTTGGGTGATAGCATTAACATTTTGTGCAGCTTGCATGAATGATCAGGCGGATCTACCAGCAGAGCTCCATGACATTCCAACTGAACAACTGAAGCATGGGACCGGGAAATACTCTCATATTATCCTCGTTCCCCAACCAACAGATGATCCTAATGACCCATTGAACGTACGTTATTGATATCCCGTCACCTCTACCTCGCATTTTGCGTATCCATGCATTTCCGGTTCCCTCAGTTGAATTCACCATCTGACATCTACGTAGTGGCCAACATGGAAAAAAGATATGATCCTCTGCATCGTCGGTCTGTCCGCCGCTGTCGTCGGAGCGTATGGACCAATGCTCGGTCCTGGCTTCATCCCAATATCCGCTGAACTCGGCATCTCGATCAACACATTATCTCAGTCCACAGCATGGCTAATTCTCACCATCGGTCTCAGCGTCTTCATCACCAATCCCCTCGCCAAAATCATTGGCAAACGCCCTGTCTACGTCCTTGCTGTCATATTCCTCACCGTCGTCAACATCTGGGGCGCTGCCGCAAAGACCTACACATCTTTCCTCGGTTCACGCATTGTAGGCGGCTTCGCGATGGCTCCCTATGAGATTCTCGTCCAAGCGACTATCGGCGACATGTATTTCGTCCATCAACGCGCCACCCGCATTGCAGTCTGGAATCTATTCTTGCTTTGCGGTATCGCAGGCGCAAGTTTCATCTCCGGCTACATTATCGAAGATCTGGGCTATAAATGGACCTTCGGCATTTGCGCCATTTTTTTCGGCATCTGGATCTTTGTGATCTTCTTCCTCGTGCCTGAAACCGCGTACAGGCGACCAAAATCGATGACATCTGCCCCTAAAAGCGCATCCGGGCAGACATCTAAGTCGAATGTTGGAACTCCAGCTCAACCTTCCACGCCTGAGAAAGCAGGGTTTTTGCAAGGTGAATCAGCGCCATCAGCAACGACCCTCCCTCCCAAGAAATCTTTTATTCAGAGTCTAGCTCTCTTCAGCGGAACATATACGAAGTCTCCATTCAAAGTCTTCCTCAGACCCTTCATCATGTTCACCTATCCTGCCGTAATCTGGGCCTGGCTCCTTTACGGCACAGTCATAACCTGGATCGTCGTATTCTCTGTCGTAAACGGCGTTCTCTTCCCCACCGTCTACGGCTTTTCCGTCTCAGAAACCGGGCTCACAGGTCTCTCACCCTTCATCTTCTCCCTCATCGGTGAAGCTGTTTCTGGACCGCTGAATGACTGGATTTGTGTCAAGCTCACAGTTAAGAATAAGGGGATTTATGAGCCGGAGTTTAGATTGCCATTAATGATTGTTGTGTGTATTCTTGGTACGGTGGGATTCTATGGATTTGGCGCTACTGTGGACACGAAAACGCATTGGACGGGTCCAGTCCTCACGTACGGCCTTGCGAACATGTCTCTCGCTTTTCTTTCCACCTGCGTATTCGGCTACGTCCTGGACTCTTACCCCAACCTTGCTGAAGAGGCGTTCGTGGCCATCAACTCCCGTAACCTTTTTACCTTCGGACTGACGTATTTCGTAAATGATTGGATCGCGAAGGATGGACCGTTAAGGGTGTTTGTGGTTTTGGGCAGCTGCTTTCTGGGGGTTACGGCTTTGACCATTCCGCTGTGGATTATGGGAAAGAGGTGGAGAGGGTGGATTGCAAGCAGGGAATTCTTGAATAACTTCATGAATGATCGGGTGTAAAATCCAAGAGAAAGGCAAATTTTTAGATTTTGACCGCGTTTGAACGAGCGATGGTGTTTGGATTGTATCTGAAAAATGGGTCAGTTTAGTGTTGGGCAAAAGCTAGAATGATTAATGATACAATATATCTTAAAAGTAAAATTTGTATCATACATCGTAGCTTTCTCATGGTCCTGAAATGAGTTTTTGCGGTATTCCTTCTAAGTGATTTCTGGCTTTTCCATGAAGTTCCATTCGCTCTTTCCTCATTTCTCACCGTTATTAACCCAACGCCAAGCATCAAAAAGGCACTCACACCGCTCAACACCACCATGACCCCCTTCAACCCTGCATTCACCGCCATCCAACAATCAAAAAGGAAAAGAAAAGAAGCAAAACGAAGCGGATTACTCCCCGGCCGGGAATCGAACCCGGGCCGCCGGCGCGTCTACAACGACTCATGAAGGCTTTTGCTTGACAAGCCGGAATCATAACCACTAGACTACCAGGGACCTTTTTGTTGTTGAAGGGGATATGGAATTATATTGTATCTATAGAGGAGTAAAAGGGGGGAAAGAAAAAAGAAGGGAGGAAAGAGGTGGGACTGTGTTCGGGAATTGGGAAGGCACGATGGGAATGGGGAAGTGACGCAAGTTGTTGAAGGTTCCTTCCGCAACTGTGAAAGTAGGTCCAGGTCTCGTATGTATAACTCTCACTTTTTTTTCTGGTGGAGGGCTTCGGACATCCTTCAAGCTATCTTTGGTCAGGTACATTGTATGCACCATAATGCCGTGTACACCGGCACTTAGCATCCCACCATCCCCTTTCTATATACCCCCTTTTGGCGTCACCGACACATTCTTCTAAGAGCTGGCGACCAAAACTCCTATAGGGATGCACTCCCGACTCTAAAGTACATATTAGCATGTCGGTATAGCTCATACCTCCTCCTTCTGGTAAAGAGCCTCGAGGACCCTCCAGAGCACCTTAATTTAGAGCTGCGACACGTCCTGTATGCTCCACTGTGCCGTTTATACTAGAACCTAGAACTCTGTTGTCTGCTTCCTATGTTCTCTTCTCTTAGCTTTACCATCATGTTTAGCTTCAACACTCCTTCCCATCTCTCCTTTGAATCTTACGAGGCTTGGGGTCCTATGAAAGCGTCCATGCAGTACTGTTCGGTACAAGCGTCATTGTCACTGCCGATGGTGACCTAGGATTCGTGCTACGGAAATCTACAGAGTTGATCGGACAATGAGCATGATTTTTCTGTTTTTGCCCGGGCTCCCACAACATGCATTCTCGTCCCATGGACAGCCACACTTACTTCGGGACTTAAAATGCGGTTCTTCCTAGTCGGTTCCACATACCTGTAAGGAACCATTTACGGCCGGGTTAGACCTATACCAGTTGCACGGCAGCGGTGGATGACCATGCGCATCATTTATTGCATTACGAGTCTATCTGCACACTTCCATGAACCGCCATTGCGTGCAGGTTATATTCTGTGGAATATTACACTTCACATTGGAAGAAATGTGTAGGCCTATTGGGTCTGGAAGCCTGATGAGGCAAAATGGTTGATCAGTCATCGGGCCAGTGAAAGGGTCGCGAAAGTTGCTTGCCCCCAAAGGCTGCACGTTCACCCATATTCACGTTATACAAATGAATCAAGGAAATATTCGGTTCCACATTCAGTTGATGAGTAGAAAAATATAATTCACAGAGACATTTTCAAAAGTCAATAGCAAGGGGTGTTGATATTTTCCAAGTGACAAATCACCGACTCAAAGGAAAACGACAATTCAAAAATGACAGACACCATGGGTATCCAACTTCCAAAACACCAAAGATGCAAACGACAGACGCTTATATTATTACATAGTCAAAATGCTTGGGATTGACCGCAACGGTCATGCAGTTTAGAGGATTTATGGGTATCGCTGAAAAGCGGAGAAAAGTATTCGGGAGAAGGAATCAGAGGGACGTTAGCATCGGATCGTTATGCTGATCTCGATCTAACGCTCTCTGTTAGCCAGAGTAAATCCAAAATGCTAGGCGAAGGACAGTGAAGGCGTTTAAACGTGCACCTCACCGCGGCCAGTAAGCAGGGTTCGTGCCTTGCGGTGCTTCCAGAAAATGATGCCGCCGTACACCGCGGTCATGAACCATAGTAGCATGGCAGTAAGGATAACCCAGACAGCGTTCTTCATCCTCTGAATTCCCTTGTTGCCTTCTGGATCCTCCTTGATATACATCTTTCCGAAGGTACCAAAAAGAGCCAAATGCAAAATCCAGAGGAGGGTGTCCACGCCAAAGAAGAACCAGGCCTTGACGAGGGGTAGCAGGCAGACGACTGCCCATATTGCTCCCATTCCTGCGCAGACCACGGCATACACCCACTTTGGGTCGGCGTACTTGTCGGCTTTTGCGGCATTGTGAAGGTCCTGGCCGTAGAGACCAGCGATCGTGAGAGCGATGACGAATTGGAGTAGTCGGGCGAAGATGCGCAGCATGCTACCGATGGTGAAGTCCTTCAGGAAACCCCCAGAGGAGGACTTCTCAGACTTCATTGTGTGCCGCCGAAATTGGAACATTTTCGATGTTTGTATGGGTGCTCGAGATCGGTGAGTGTTATGGTTTGGGTGTTGTTACTAGGCGAAGAATCGGTCGAGCGTTGGAAAGGGTTGTCCCAGACAAGTATTAAGAGTGTTGAGGTTTGGAATTGGTACGAAACGGGTGAAGCACTGCTAAAATAGTGTCGCAGCTTTGAAATAGTGGCGTTGTTCAGCACGGTGAATCGCACAATGCTATTGAGCGGTCGTAGACAATAAGTGGGATATTGTGCAGTAGGGAGACTGAGGCTATGACGTTCTCCGATTCACTGTGGTCTAGGCTACCGGGCCCGAGTCACAGGGTTGCTCTTTCAATGTACAGATCGACAAAAGGAAAGTAACAATATAGGAGAGTCGCGATAGCCTTGCGCAAAACAAGACAAAGAGATGCACACAATATAACAAAGAAAAGGGCCGACTGTCAAAGCCGGGAGAAGAAAGGTATTGGTGTAGAGCAGAGCGAACTGAGAGTATACTGAAGACATGAACAGTGAGTGACTTGCGGTTATATATGTTGTTCAGGACATCGTTCAACCTGCCTTTGCAGCCGTTTCATGACCTCAGGCGCCTCGTGAGCTTGTGCCCCGCTATAGAGACCCTGGTGTCGTCCATTTCCAATCGCTGGGCTGACGCAATCTCCCCCGCGCGCTAACGTTCACCGCTGCAGGGTCGACGATCGCGGTGATTGGCTCACAGCTTCGCACAGCGTTTGGTCTCTAACGAGGCCACAACTATTCTCGGGCTGTTTCATCCTTTACCTGGACACAAGAGAGGTCGACAGGAGACCGTTGAACAAGCTGCCGCCAGCCAGTGAATGTGAGCGTCTCGACCTGTACCCAAAGTTATTCTGGCAAAACCTCAAGGCTGAAAACCACAACACGCGACTCTGGGTAGAAACCCCTTAAGACTTTGTGTGATTCGTCTATTAAGAGCTCTAACAAGTCCACCTTTGACTCAAAGCATACTTTACATCGCGAAATTTGCCCTCTCGGAACGTACTTCCGATCTCTGCGCTTAGGGAGATGCGTATTTATATCCATACTGGTCCTTAGCCTTCTGAATGGCATCCTTGAGATCATGTTCCTTCTGGGCATACTCCTTGTCATCCTTCAATTTCTGCAGGTATAAATCGTTCCCAAAACCACTCCTCGACGGTACTGAGAGACCTTTCTGCACCGCAGGACGGGCAAGGATCCTCTGCCACCATGCTTTCAAGTTCGGGAACGCATCAATATCCACGCCAGAGAACCTAAGCCTGTTTACCCAACCAAAGCTGGCGATGTCCGCGATGCTATACTTGTTTCCGACGAGATAGTCGTTGGTCTTGAGGTGGTTGTCGAGGATGCCGACGAGTCGCTCCGTCTCGCCAGTGTATCGCTGCATGCCGTATGGGATCCGCTCTGGTGCGAATCTCTGAGACGATTTTAGTATGAGTTCGTGGGAGTTTGAGTATGTCAAATGCCTACGTTGAAGTGATTTGCTTGACCCTGCATCGGCCCAAGACCGCCATGCTGCCACGCCATCCATTGTTCAGCGCGAGAAATATCGAGCCGGTCCGTGAAGCTGAATTTGTGGTCGGGATCGTAGTGCCTCGTAAGATAGGTAAGAATTGCTGGTGGAGTCAATGCCGAACCGGACAGCACTCTCAAGCGTCAGCACTCACCAAGGCCTTCCTGCACAGCAAACCCTCCTTGGTCGTGATCCACGATAACAGGAATACGTCCATTAGGACCCAGCTTCGTGAACCAAGGCTCCTTCTGGATGTTCTGATTGATGTTGATTGCCTGCCATGTGTATTCCTTTCCATACGCCTCCTTCAGCTCCTCGAGAATGATAGAAGCTTTCACGCCATTGGGTGTTCCCCAGGTAAGCAGCTCAATGCCTTTGCTAGCCTTGAGACCAGTGGGTCTTTGATCGGCCATCGTATCGGGCAGGGCTGGTTGGGATTGTATCGGAGAGATATGAAGGTGGGTTTTGTGATAAGGCCGAAGGATGCGAGTTCTCAGGGTTCGAGAAGTATTCTGTCGCTGTAGCAGGGTCAATCGTCGCAATAGTGACATCTGGTTAGCTAAATGGCACAAAAGAGGGGTTAAATACGGCTCCTCTCATGCTTTTGCATATTAGTTGCTTAGTGATCCTACGTCACGCTTGGGCGCTTCCCCCCGGGTGGGGAGCTTTCGCCAGAAAGAACTGCTTTGCCTTCTAATACTGCTGATTACGGAGAAGATAGAATCAGCGAGCGTATTTGAAATGTTGGGAGGACCGTGCCACCGAGTTTCCGAGTTTCCGAGTTTCCGAGTTGCTTATCAATAACATTGTTTTCCTGCCAAGCATCCGCACCATTGGGCAAAATTTAGAACTCTTCTGGTTAGCGTGCACGGCTGGTCAGCGTGCACGCTTAGTTAGCCACATCACCACTTCAAAATTGAGGTTATTCGCAACTAAATAATTGTCAAAATTGCTTCAATTCATGGTGTAATAGGCAACTGAGATCCGCGAGTTAGCCTATCTCAATTATATCGTCCTTAAATTGTGTAGGAAGCTTCTTCATATGTCCTAGGCGAGTTGAAGGTAGATCTGCCTTAGGAGGACTCTTCTTCTCACCTACATCCAAAAGAGATTCTGTAATGACAGTAATTGCCCTAGATTTCTTGTTTCTCTTACCCTGTATCGATTTCAAGTCGTTTTTGAGTTGCTTTTCAGCTTTCTTAGCGTATAGAGCTTCCTCACGCGCAAGCCTTTTCTTCTCCTATTTCACCTCGCACCGAATCTCCTTTTGGATCTTTGTAGCCTCACGTTCTTGCTTCCTTTACTCAATAGTAAGTCTCTCCTACTCCTTAGCTATTACCTTGAGTCTTTTTTCTTCTTCCTTTTTTGCCTATTCCTGAAGAGCAGCC